TCCTCGCCCAGTCCAGGCCCCCCGCTCCCTGTCCCTTGAGGCCGAATGTCCAGCGTCCCCTCCCAGGAAGGGACGGAGGCCGAGAGCCGGAGGGCCCGGCTGGATGTCACTGCGCCCGTGAACCAGGGACAGAAGGCGCGGCGGCAGGAGGAGAGCAGATGGCCTCCTCCCCACCTGGTGGCAGGTGTGGGGGCCGAGACGGGGCGGGGGGGGGGTGCCGGCGCCGAAGGAGAGGGATGAGGCCTTATGAGAGGCTCTGGTGTCGCTGGAGGTCACACAGGCCCCCTGCCCGCCCCCCCCCCGGGCCTGCCCCCCCCAGGCCTGCCCCCGCAGGCCTGCTCCCGGCTGCTGAGCCTCTTCCTCCGGTGGCAGTGACACAGCCCCTCCCGGCCTCCCCCTCCCAGGCCCTCCCCCAAGGGGCCCTCCAGGACGCCTGCGGGGCTCAGGCTGGGGGTCACCAGCTGGTGGTCACTGGTGGACGCCAGCTGGCCGGGACAAAGGGCTCTTTGTGCCGGGGCCGGCCCTGGGGACATCACTCTTCACGAGGAGCTGGCCCTCTCCCTCCCCTGATGCTTCGCTGTGCTGCTGGCTCCAGAGGCAGGCGGGCGTGTTTGGGTCCTGGGCTAGGCTGCCCAGGACGGAGCCCGGCGTGGGGGTCCTGGGCCGCAGACCTGGGCCTACACCTCCGGGACGCTCCGCCGCAGCCCCTGGGGCCGGCGCCAGGGCCCACCGCCCCTGGCCTGGCCTGCGAGCTGGGACACGCCTGAGCGGTGGGCCTGCCCCAGGCCCCTCAGCAGCGGGCCCCGGGACCTGCCCTGGAGAGAGCAGAGGGCTGGCCGCCAGGTGACCCCTGGGCAACCCGTGGGGACTTCAATGGCAAGGGTGACTTAGCAGCTGCCACTGGGGGGAGGGGGAGGGGCAGGGACGTGCAGAGCCCCGAGTTGGAGCCTGGACAACGGCGGGTCGACACCCCGCCACTGAGACCCTGCGGGGCGTGAACGACAAGGTGCCGCTCACAGGACACCGGCGGTGCTCTCCAAGGTCAGGGGCAGGGACCTGCGTCCACCCTCCAGCAGTAGGCCAGGGTCGTGGGTGCCAGGGAGGCGGGGCCAGGAGGAAGTCTGCCCAGTGGGGGCCCTGGCCCGGCCCCTCGAGGCTGTTTCACGGCTCAAACTCGGGTCGTGGGGTGGGGGCCCCCTTTGGGCACTGGGCACACCCCCCCCTTCGGGGACGCAGCCGCCATCTCCCCTCCCCCACCTCGCGGTGGCACCTGTGTGGCCCCGGTGATGGGTCTGCCGGAAGCAGGCACAGCCGGAGGAGGAGGAGGGCACCGCCCCCTTGGAGACTTTGGTCCAATGGCTACATTTCCACCCTGTGGTTTACCCTGTGGTTCCAGAGCCTGAGCTGCAGACTCGGCCACCACAGGCTCAGGGCTGGCCCTCGGCCCTGCAGCGGCCGGAGAGGCTGGGCCGGGGCAGAGCTGTCCGTGGTGCTGAGAGCAGCCCTGACCTGGGAGGCCTCAGCGGCTGCGTGTGCTGGACGAGGGGTCCCACTGCGGGACTGGGTCCTGCTAGGAGCTCAAATCTTCGCTCTCACCTTGAACTGGTTACCATGGAGATGTCCTTGGGGCAGGGCGAGGGCTGGGAGAGCGGCTGCAGGGAGGGGGCACCTCCTTCCACCTCGGCTCTGGAGCGGGCGTGGCCCCGGCTGGGGGTGCGTGTGTGAGGGGTCCCCGGGGGGCCTCCCTCCCCTCGGCCCCTGCCCACCATCACCCTCAGGGACACGTCCTGCCTCGAAGGCCCCGTGCTCCAGAGCAGGCCTCGCTCTTTGTGAACCGGGGCTTCCCTTCCTGGGAAACGGTCTCAGGAGCCGCCGGGGGAGGGGCCTGGGGGCCTGGAGTAAGAGCCGGACGCGGAGGCTGCCGTGGTCACCAGCTCCCTGAGACCAGCAGTGTCCAGAGGGCGCAGGTGGGGAGGGCCGGCCGTGCAAACTGAGGAGTTGGGCCCGATTCATCTGGCCGCGTCAGCAAACCCGCAGGGAGAGCCGAACGGGGTTGGACAGACACGTGTGAGCACACACGCCGGCCGCCCCGTGTGCCCGCCGGGCGCGCTGGCTGAGCTCACCTGTGGGGTGGCCCGAGAGCCCCCTCTCGGCAGCCTGAGCCCCAGGGGAGGGGAGCAGAGGACACAGCTGGTACCCTGAGAGCCGCCTCGGGCTCCCGGGCCCCGGGGGCCACTCCAGCCCCGCCCAGGCCGGGGGCGGGGGCCCAGCCTGACCTCTGCATGAGTCCTCTGGCCAGGCCAGCTCTGCGTCCGCGGCTCCCTGCGTCAGACGGCAGACAGCCCGGAGGCGGCTGTCAGAAGGAGCGGGTCTGGGGGCCGCAGCCCGGCTCAGTGGTCTCAGGGTCCCGGAGGGTGAGCAGCCAGAGCCCGGAACTGAAGCGAACTGCCCAGGCGCATGTCTGCGTGGAAGTCCATGCTCCCCAGGGCACCGTCCCTGTGTGCCCCTTCCTCCAGGAAGCCTTCACGGATTGGCCCAGCTCACCCTGCCCCCCTCTCTCCCCTGACTCTAGCCTGACACGCACAGGAACCCCCAACTCTAGCAGGGCCCCAGGGGGAGGAGCCTAAACTCAAAGGCACGAGGGGGCATCCCCACCCCGAAAGGCGTGTGTTTGACCGGATGACGGGACAGGGCAAACGTCACTTTATCAGCCCGTGAGAAACCCCGTCTGTGACCCGCCGTCCCGGGTTGCGGACCAAGTGCAGGACGAGCTCTGTGCCCCGGGCATCCTCAACCCGTCGGGAGAGAGCCCGCCGGCTGGCAGCGTACTGACCTCACCCACTGACCAGAGCACCGAGCTGGGCGCTGCACACGGCCACACCGGGCACCATGCCTTCGGGGCAGTGTGGGGCCGGGGGCTCTCGTCAGGGCTGCGCGGGCAGGCTCCGGGCCGCCCACCCCTCCGCTCACGCAGGAGCCTTCAGACGTCATCATCGTCACCCTCTGCCCCGGGTGGGGGCTGGGGGGGGCTCCAGCTCGGTCTAGCCGTGGGTGGCCCTGTCCTGGGGAGCAGGTGGCCTTTGCCTGCCAAGGGGGCGGTCTCCGGAACCCGTCTCCCCTCCCGACACCCAGTCAGAGCCCGTCCGCCAGCCCCTGCTTCAGTCCAGCTCTCAGCCAGCTCGGAAGCATTCCGGTGCGTAGCTCAGAGCTGGCTCGTGACGGGGGTGAAAATGCCCAAAGAATCCAGGGTCTGGCCCTGCCTGGGGGGCTTGGGTGGGCGAGGACAAGGGGGTGAGGGGGTCCTGTTTGGAGGGACACCGGCCGGCCTGCTGAAATGGGGGAAACTAGGCCAGGCTCCAGGGCTGTGGGGTGGTTCGTGGGTGGCGATCTGTCAGGCCCGGGTGGCCCAGGCGGTCTCCCCGAGGGCAGACAGTGGGGTGCCTCCAGGACACGGCCCCATGCTTCACCAGCCCCTGCTTCTGGCACAGGCCAGACCTGGGACAGGCTAGCCCGAGGCTGGGAGGGAGCCAGGGTGCAGGCCTGAGGGCAGGCGGCCTGGGTTGGAATCCTACTGCCGGCTGTGTGACCTTGGGCAGGTGACTTAACCTCTCTGTGTATCCAGCTCGTTTGAAGACAGGTGGAGCAAAGAGCCCACCTCCTAGGGGCGTGTGGGGCCCCAGTGAGTTCGAGGGTCTCAGAGGCCCCGGGCGGCCGCAGGGCTGAGCCGGCACTCTCGGGGTCCCACCCTGGAGACCTCTGTCTGCACCTCCCTGGGCTCCCGTGAGCCGGCGGGGAGGCGGGGAGGCGGGGAGGTGGGGAGGGCCCTGTCACCCACCAGGGCACCTGGTCTGGGCAGGGAGACCGGGAAGGAGCCCCACTAGGGGCGGAGGCCCCCGTGGGAGGAGCACAGAGGCATCCCTAGCCCCTCCTTCACTGCCTGGTCCCGGACCCCAAGCCTCTGCTTGGGGGCTCGGTCCCCACAGAGCCCCAGGGGCAGGGTTGGGGAGGTGGTTTGGGGGGAACGTGGGGTGCGGGGATGGCTGTGGGTCCCCAGTTTCTGTGGACCGCACCTCTCCTCCACCCAGACGGGGTTCCGCCATTCAAAGCAGCCCCTCTGCCCCTCCCCCAAGCACCCGCTCCTCCCCAGTGGCCGCCTTGACCTGCCGGAGGGCACAGCCCCTGCCCAGGCTCCCAGGACAGCGGCCACACGGCCTCTGGATTCTAGCCGGTCCCACCCCTGGTGTTGAAGACCAGCTGCGGGCATGGGGGTCTGTTCCCCTGGCAGCTGGGCCGGACCCTCCTCCTCCACCGCCCAGGGCAGCGGCCCACGGTGTGCGGTGGGGCTGCCCTCGCACCCCACAGCCCAGGGGCTCTCAGGCTGCGCGGACGTGGGGTCTGGGGGCTGCAAGACCTGGCCTCGCGGGGCCAGGGGCGTGAGGCTCCTTCCCCCTTCCCAGAAAGGCGGCCGCGAGCCACACTCCCCACAGGACGCTCCGTCCGCCAGGGACAGGCGGATGGGGTGGGACGCCTCGCTGGGCACATGAGGAGCGACCTGTGGTTTCCAAACGGCAAAGCGGGGCGGAGGCGATGGAGTTAACCAGACCCGTGCAGGGCGCCCCTTCTGGCGCCGGGAGCCCCCGGTCCCACGCAGGGACTGCGGCCCCCGCGCACAGCTCCGACACGCCCCCAGTCCCGGGAGGACACGGGAAACTTTACCCCCGCGGGCCGGGCGCAGCCTCCGCCCCTCCCGCCCTCCCCTCCCTCCGGGTCCCTCCCTCTCGCCCTCCTCCCCTCCGCCTGGAGGCGGGCAGGTCCGGGCGGGGCCGCGCGCGGAGCCCACAGCCCCGCTCCCGGCCGCGCGGGAGGAGCAGCCGAGCCAGGGCCGGAGGACGGAGCGGCCGGCGCGACACTGGGGGCATGAAGTTGGGCGCACGCGGGCCGCGGGGCGGGGGCGCGGCGGAGCCAGGACCCGCCGGCGTCTAGAGCCCGCTCGGTGCGCCATGGAGCTGGGGGGGCCGGGGTCTCCGCCGCCGCTGCTGCCACTGCTGCTGCTTCTGGGGGGCGGCTTCCTGCCCGGTAAGTTTCGGGGAGCTGCACGGGCCCCCTTTCGCCCCTTTCAGGGCGGCCCAGGACCGCCGGAGCCCGAGGAAGGGAGGCTCCTGGCTGCAGTCCCCGCCGCGGGTGCGCGCATCGGGGCAGCCGCGGGGGCTCCCCACCCCCAGACGCAAGGACTGTCCTTCGGCCTCCGGCCGAGCGGGGCAAGGACGGAGTTAATCCGCCGGAAGGCGGGGAGAGGGGTTCGCGTGGCGTTGTGCGGGGGGCTGCTCTTTCGGCAGCGGGGCCCAGAAGCCCCACCTGGGGTGGGGACAAGCGCCGTCCCAGTCAGCCCGGTCCGGCTCCGGCCAAATCCGCCCGCAGACCCCGCCCCCGCGCCGGCCCCTGGTTTTCGGGGATCCGCGGAGCGTCCCTCTGCAGGCAGCCCCTGCCTCCCGCCTGCAGACCTCTGGGCATCGCCCCTTCCGGCGCCCCAGCCCACAGGGGTGGGGAGTCCCTGCCCCTCCAGCTCCCTGCCCCCGGGCAGCCCCCCCCCCCGGCTCTTCTGGGGCCGTGGGAGGGGGACAGAGCCCCGGACTGTGCGCCTTCCTGGTCAAAGGGCCCCGGGGACAGGGGCTGGGCTGTGGGCTGGGCATGCAGGGCCTGGGTGCAGGGCCCACCCCAGGGGTGCCTGCACAAGGGGGGTCTCCCCTGCCCCTCCCTCTCCCCCCAACTCCTCGTGATGCAGGTGTGGGGCCCGCACACTGGCCGTGGGGCTGGACCCGGTGAGAGGGGCCCCTCGCAGGCCCTCCCCGGGGGGGGGCTCCCCCCAGCCTTCCCGGAGGGCAGCCCCCAGTCCACCCAGGAGCTGGGGCGCCGGCTCAGTGTTCGAAATGCCCCTCAGGCGTCCGGGCCAGACTCGGGGTGCGGCCGCCGCTGAAAGCTGGGCCCTCCTGCCCCTTTTGTCTCCTGCCGGGGCTTGCCTCCCACCCCATCCTGCAGCAGGCACCCCCACCTTGTTCTCAGGACTGTGCTGGTGGCTGGAGGCACAGCCTTTGTGGGGGACTCTTCCGGATCAGCGCTTGTGGGAGCTGTCCCCTTCTGGGGAGAGGGCCTGTGTGGGGGGGGGGGCCTGGGAGGGCTCCCCTGAGGACACGGCGGTCACGCCGGGGTGGGACCCAAAGCGGGGACTGGGCGGTGTGGGCAAAGGCCCCGAGGCCAGGGGAGGGAGGGAAGCAGGGTGGCTGAGCAGGGCCTGGCGTGGGGCCGGGGGACGGGGGGCAACCCAGGGAGTCCTGAACCCTGTGGCCAAGCCGCCCGCCCACTCGCCCTCCCCCAGCGAGCGGCCACGTGGAGACCCGGGTCCACGCGGAGGAGCGGCTGCTGAAAAAGCTCTTCTCCGGCTACAACAAGTGGTCTCGGCCCGTGGCCAACACCTCGGACGTGGTGCTCGTCCACTTTGGCCTGTCCATCGCGCAGCTCATCGACGTGGTAGGTGCCGGGGCCGGCGCGGGGACCCGGGGGCCCAGCCCGTCACAGGGTCCTGCCCATGGCCCCGGGCTCGGGAGGCCGCCGGGGGGGCCAGGACTGCCATCCCCCCACCCCTGCCCCACGGGACCCGGCTCCTCCGTCGTGGGGTCCAGAGGAGGGGCCACAGGACCAAGCGCACCGCCGGAGAGTCGGGGACGTGGTCTCTTCGCCCCAAACTGGCTGCGAGGGGCTGGTCCCCTGGGGGAGCGCCCAGGCCTGCGCCTTTGGGGACACGAGGCCCCACCCTGTCCAGAGCCTGCGTAGCAAGTGGGGCCCGTGCACCCCAGGTGGATTTGGTGGCAGCGGGAGGGGGCAGGGGCCTGCTCGCCTGGGGCCCGCGTGCAGAGAGGCTGCCCGTCGTCCCTGCCTCCGCCGGGAGCCCTGGGCGCCCCGTTCCCTCACACCACCGCCGGGGGAGGGCAGGGCCCAGCCGCCTCTGCAGCTGGCCCCAGGCCTTGTCCTCATCCTCATTCCGGGAAGGTTCAGGGCGGCCTTGTCCCCACAGCTCTTGGGTCCCGCCCTGGGCTTGGTTACCTCCGGAAACGAGGTGCTCATTCCCCCCATCGCAGCCCGGGCCTGTCCTTGTGGGTAAGGACACGCAGGGCCGAGGGAAGTGGGCCGAGTCGGGGGGGGGCGGCCACCACTGCTTTACTTGTCTGGGTCCTAGGATGAGAAGAACCAGATGATGACGACCAACGTGTGGGTGAAGCAGGTGAGTGGAGGGCCCCGCCCCCGCCCCGCGCCCGCCCCCCACCCCGCCCCCGGCCTCTCAGCCGCGGCTCTCTGCGCCCGCCCCGCCCAGGAGTGGACCGACTACAAGCTGCGCTGGGATCCCAGCGACTACGAGAACGTGACCTCCATCCGCATCCCCTCGGAGCTCATCTGGCGGCCGGACATCGTCCTCTACAACAAGTGAGCCTGCAGGGCTTGGGGGCGGGGCTTTGGCCGGCGGGGGCGGGGCTTATCCGGGGGCGGGGCGCGGCGGCGGGGCAGGGCCTGCGCAGTACAGCAGAGTTCCAGCGGGCCAGCTCTGCCCGGGGAGGGGTGAGCAAGGGCGGCCTGCCCCGCCCCCCCCTCAGCCAGCGAGGTGGCTGAGGGGCTCCGTGGCCGCCAGCCCCGCCCCAGGGACGTCGGGTGGCCACCACCTGGCTTGGCCTCTGTCCTTGGCCTCTTTCCCCCCGGGCAGGAAAGGGGGCTGGAGCCCCTCCCCCAGAGCTGCTCCCCTTCAGCCTGGGGTCACTTCCAGCGTCTGTCCCCCGCCACCCGCGGAAGCCCTGGGCGGCCTGTCACGTTCCAGCTCTCACCCCCCTCCCCCAGCCACACTTCCATCTGGGCTCTGGGCCCCCCTGGGACCTCGAGGTGTGTGTGGGGGGCTATTCCCTGAGCCCAGGGCAGCCTGACACCCTCCCAGGTGCCCGTGTCCCTGCTGAGCCGTCGCTGAATCCCCGCCCGTGACCCCCGTCTCAGGCTGGGCCGCGGGGCTCGCGGGGACCAGCCCTCAGCTCCCTGCGCCCCGCCACGTGCACGCCGGACCTGCCTCCCAGCCGGCCGCCCGCCCGCCACACACAGCCCCTGCCAGGGCCCCCGGCGCTGGGCCTGACCCACAAAACGCTGCTATTGGAGTAGGAATGACCCGGCTCCTCTTCCAGCTCAGCCGACCCCAGTCACGGCCGCGGGGAAGCCGCCGCTCGGGAGGGAGCTGGGAGAGGCTTGCGGGGGGCATTAAGCGAGGGCGGCTGGAGAGCTGGGGGCGGGGCGGGGCGGGCCTGCTGTCTGCAAGCCACGCCCCCCAGACCCAGAGTCTCCAGCCGCCCCGCCTCCCTGGGGTCCACGCTCAGCTCCGCGAGGCCCACGCTCAGCTCTCAGGACCTTGGGTCCTGACAACACACAGCAGTGTCAGCTCTGGGACCCGGGGAGCCTCAGGGTCCCCGGAGAAATTCCCTGGGGTGACCGCACCTCCTCGAGGTCTGGGACCTGTGCAGCCTGCAGCCCTGGAAAGTGGGGGCGCCCCCCAATCCTCCACCATCTCCTCCCTGCCAGGACCCCTGGGAGGTAGCGGGGTGGACGCCAGCCCTTCTCTGTGGCTGTGGTTGACGCCGAGGCTCTGTCTGGACAGGCCCCGGGGGTGAGGGTGGGGGGCCAGGAGCTGAGCTGGTGGCTGGTGGTGGCTTCAGCCACGAGGGAGGCCCATTTCCGGGGGCCGTGGTTGCTGCTGGCCGGGGGTGTGCACGTGACCGTGGCCGAGTGGCCGGCCCGCACCGCTGGGTGAGGGGAAGGGCAGGGGGCGGGGCCCAGCTTTTCCGCCGGCTTTGGGGCGCCCCGGTTTGCAGGGCATGCACATGGGGGCGTGCCGCCTGCTTGAGGCTTTTCCACGTCGTCCCTTCGGGGCAGAGGGTGTCCCGTGACCCCTCGTGGGGCCTCTCAGGGCCCGGAGCAGGAACTTGGACGAGCCAGAGGGACTTCTCTGCTCCGCCCTCCCTGCCCCACAGCCGCAGCCCCACGCAGAAGGGGCTCAGGGCTGGACAGCTCCACCCCGGGCCTGCTGGGGGCAGGACGTGGGCCCAGGGGCTTTGTCTGCCTGGCACGGAGGAGCCAGCTCCGGGCGGGGGCCCAGGCCTTCCCGCGGGGGCCACAGCCTTGCTCCTTCCGGCTGCCCTGCCGGGCGGCTGGTCCCCCCTGCAGAGCGTAGGGCCGCCCCTCGGCCCTTCTGGGGACCCTGCCAGGGCTGGACACGTCCCCTGTGGTGCTGAGACCGAAGTCTCAGGGCTGCCCCAGGGGCTCGTGGGAGGGCTGCCGTGTGGGGAAACCGAGGCTGAGAGCAGGCTGCACCTGCCTGGGGCCGGGACTGGGGGCCCCGCGCTCCCGGCAGCGGCGGCGGCAGGACGGGGGCGTGCGCGTGGCGGGCGCCCCGGGGGGGCTCCCTCTCCTCGGGGCTCACCCCTCTCTTCCCGCCAGTGCGGACGGGGACTTCGCCATCACGCACCTGACCAAGGCGCACCTGTTCCACGACGGGCGGGTGCGGTGGACGCCGCCGGCCATCTACAAGAGCTCCTGCAGCATCGACGTGACCTTCTTCCCCTTCGACCAGCAGAACTGCACCATGAAGTTCGGCTCCTGGACCTACGACAAGGCCAAGATCGACCTGGTGAGCCTGCACAGCCACGTGGACCAGCGGGACTTCTGGGAGAGCGGCGAGTGGGTCATCGTGGACGCCGCGGGCACCTACAACACACGCAAGTACGAGTGCTGTGCCGAGGTGTACCCCGACATCACCTACGCCTTCGTCATCCGGCGCCTGCCGCTCTTCTACACGGTGAACCTGATCCTGCCCTGCCTGCTCATCTCCTGCCTGACCGTGCTGGTCTTCTACCTGCCCTCCGGCTGCGGCGAGAAGGTCACGCTGTGCATCTCCGTGCTGCTCTCGCTCACGGTCTTCCTGCTGCTCATCACCGAGATCATCCCCTCCACCTCGCTGGTCGTGCCGCTCATCGGCGAGTACCTGCTCTTCACCATGATCTTCGTCACCCTGTCCATCGTCATCACCGTCTTCGTGCTCAACGTGCACCACCGCTCCCCGCGCACCCACACCATGCCCGCCTGGGTGCGCCGCGTCTTCCTGGACGCCGTGCCGCGGCTGCTGCTCATGCGGCGGCCGGCCGTGGTCAAGGACAGCTGCCGGCGGCTCATCGAGTCCATGCACAAGGCGGCCGGCGCTCCCCGCTCCTGGCCCGAGCCCGGGGGGGCACCCGGCTTTGTCGGCCGAGTCCCCAGCCGGGGCCCCTCGCCCACCTCGTCCTCCCGCGGCCCCCTGGACGAGCCGGGCAAGCCCGAGCCCGCCTGCGCCTCGCCCTCCGGCCAGGTGCCTGCTCCGCCGCCGGCAGAGGCCGGGAAAGCCAGCCCCTGCTCCTCCCCTGGGCCCTGCCGCCCGCCCACCAGCCCTCAGGCCCTGGGGCCGGCCACAGCCCGGTCCCTGAGCGTCCAGCACATGTCCAGCCCCAGCCGAGCCGCGGAGGGCGGCGTCCGGTGCCGGTCTCGGAGCGTCCAGTACTGCGTTCCCCAGGGCCAGGCCGCGGCCCAGGCGGACGGCCCCCCGGCCGGGTCTCCCAGCTCCCTGAACCCTCCCGGGGCTGGGCTCCCGCCCCCGGCCCAGGCCTCTTCCTGCACCTGCCGGTGCAAGGAGCCGCCTGCGGGGTCCCCAAAGGCTGCGTTCAAAGCCCGCAGCTCCAAGGCTCCGCCCCGGCCCCCGGCCCTGTCGCCCGCCCTGACGCGGGCCGTGGAGGGCGTCCACTACATCGCGGACCACCTGAAGGCGGAAGACACAGACTTCTCGGTGAGTGTCCACCCCGGCTGCCCCCGAGGTGCCCAGGCCCACGTAGGACGCTCTGAAGGAGGGAGTGGCCGGGGGGAAAAGGCAGGAACTGGGCCCAGGCTGGGGGACACCCCCTCGGGCCTGGAGACAGCCCGTGGGCGGCAGGGCAGGGCCCCCAGCCCCGGCTGTGCCTGGTCAGCTCCGGCCGCAGGCCCGCCCCTCCTCGGTGGCGCGCTCGGCCTGGTTCTGGTCCTCGAGCGTCGCCCGCTCCGGGGAACCAGCTGACTTCACAAAGGGCCCAGGCGACCGGTGGCTTTGTCCGCGCTGGCGTTTCATCCTCAGGACTGGGGAGGGGGACGTGCCCTCGGTGGGGGCGGGGCGGGGGATGAGAGGCAGAGGGAACAGCCGGGCCTCCGGCCCCAGCGGGGTGCGGGCGGACGTTTTATTTTTAAGTGCCCTGCCTGCCCCCGGGCTCCCTGTGACTGCGCGGCCGCCCGGGCTCCGTTTGAAGCCCGCAGGACGCCCGGCCACTGAAAACAGCCAAGCGGAAAATAGCGGCGGAGACCCCGCTTTCCCTGGCACTCGCTCCCATGAGGGGACTGCCTCCTCCCCACCCACTTCACCCGGGGCTGCGCCCGCCTCTCTCGTGGGCCCCGCACCCTCAAGGGGCTCCAGCACAGGGCTGGGAGACCCCGCTGACCCCTGAGGGGCCTTGGGACACCCAGGCAGCTGGCCCCCCGAGCACCCGGGTGGGGAGGGCCACTGGGCCTCGGCTGCCCCTCTCGGACACCGCTCTCGGACACCGTCCCCCCTGGGGCCCCTGGGGGCCCACGTTAGTGGTCAAGCCCGTTGCCCAGGGAGCTCCCGGCCCTTGTCCTGCCTGGCCGGGCGGTGAGGGTGGCCCCTGTCCGGGCTCACTTGCTCCCTCTGGAAAACGGGGGCACTCGATGGTGCTCATGGTGACCCCTGGTTTAGCAAGCCGGGAGCAAATGCCACCGCGAAGCGGCCTGGACACTGGCCGGGTCCTGGTGCGCGTCCCAAAGCCCCCGGGGCTCAGGCGAAGGTGGGGGTACAGCGCTGAACCCCCGTCTCCCACGGTGGCTGTGGGGTCGCCCCTTCGAGGGCACTGCCCCCCGACCACCGTCAGCGGGAGGGTGGCGCCCCTGCGCCCCGCCCTGCGTGCCACCCCAGCGCAGGCGCTGGGCTGCGGGCCTGGGGGGTGGGGGCACCGGGCCACGGGGGCGGCGGCGGTGACGGGGGCCTGTGTTGCAGGTGAAGGAGGACTGGAAGTACGTGGCCATGGTCATCGACCGCATCTTCCTCTGGGTGTTCGTGCTCGTCTGCCTGCTGGGCACCGCGGGGCTCTTCCTGCCGCCCTGGCTGGCCGGCATGATCTAGGGGCCCCCCACCCCCACCCCCCAGGGCTTGCGCCCGCCTCCCGAGGGGCTCTGTGCGGGGCGGGGTCTCACCGTCGGCCAGGTCCCCCCCCGTCTTCTGTCTGCTGCCCCGCCCCCCCGGGGACGCCGTGTGCTCCGGCAGCGGGGACCCGGGAGGTCGTCGTATTAAAGTTTACCCAGAGCTCAGCCACGTCGGGCTCCTGCACGTGCGTCCGCCCTGTCTCTCTCTGCGAAGGTCCCCGCGGTCCCGGGGCCCTGGCGCCACGCCTGTGGCCCTCCCAGCCCCAAGCGCCCCCTTCCAGTGGGACCCCACCCGTGGGGCCCCGCCCCCGGCCCGCAGGCCTGCTGTCTGCGCCCCACGCACTGGGCCGGGCTCTCGTGCGCCGGGGCGGGCCGACTAGCGGAAACCCAGGTTTCGTGCTCCAGGGCCTTGGGGATTGGGGCCGTCAGACCTGGTCCCTCTTGGAGGAGGTGGGTGACCGGTGCCCCGTGGGGGAGGGACCCGTGGGCTCGGGGGGTCTAGGGGTTCTTTGCCTTTCAGGGGTCCTGGGGGGTCTTGGGCAAGGTCCCCGTGGGCCCCAGGAGTGTGTGAGGGGCCCACAGGAGGTCCAGCTCCAGGTCCCCATCCAGACTCCCTGCCCCAACACCTTCCTGTGGGCTCCCCCTCTGTGCACAGCCCCCACCAGGGCCCCCCGAGGCCCACCCGTGAGCAGGGACTTCCCTGACGAGTCGGCAGCCGTGGTGAGGGTGGGGGACCCTCAGGACAGCCCCCCAGGGCTGACTGGGAACCTCACGTGGGGTGCTGGGGGTGGGGCCTCTGAGGGGGTGGCGGGGACCCCCCACAGGCCTCCTTCTCTTAGACCCACCCACTGGGGCCAGCTCAGCCAAAGGACCACAGTCACCCCACGGTGCAGGGGCCGTCGGCCCAGGGGTGGTGGGGGACCCTGACAGCTGGGATGGTCCTGGGGCCTAGTGTCGTCCCCCCCACAGAGGCTGAGCGCTGGTGGCACCAACAGTGTGCCCTGTCACCCTGGAACACATTGCCTAGGGGCGGCGTGGGGGTGGGCGCAGGCTGCCCCCCTTCCTGATTCTTTGGGGTCCTCAAGGACAGCATGTCACACCCCCCCCCCGGGGGTGACACTGGGTGGAGGGAAGAGGCGGGGGAAGAGGGAGGGACCTGTTTCTGCCGTGCACGGCCAGGGCCCCCTCTGCAGACCCCACGCATCAGGGCAGCTGCGGGCAGGTGCCTGGCCACGTGCCCTGCCTGGGTCCCGAGGCCCTTGGGCGAATCCAGGGACTAATCGGCGGAGTTCGGAGCTGAGCTCACCAAGCACCCAGGGACCCTGCGACTGCGGGGGGTCGGGCTGGCGGGTCTCCGGAGGGTGCCCGGCCCGTGCAGGAGACAGGGCTACACCCCTCGCCTGCGCGCCGTGACTCGAGGGCCCTGACTCGGGCCCAGGGGTCCTCCTGCCCGGGAGGGGGAGGCAGAGGCCCCCGGGTCTAAGTCCCGGGCGTCCTCCCCTCCCTGGCCCCAGGCCACGTGGGACCCGGTCTGCCCGCTCTGCTCTGCCCCCTGGGGGCCTCGGGGCCTCACCCCGGGAGGCTGCGGCCTTCCGCCCCGGCCGGATAAGCGGGGCCGAGCGGCGGGGACGGCGGCCCCGTGGGGGGCGAGCAGGGATGCAGCTCTCAGGTGGGAGGCCCTCAATCCTCCTTACGTAAGTGGATGCGGCCGCCAGATGCGCCGGCATCTGCCAGCAGCGGTCTGGCACTGGGCCCGGCCACAGACGTGCTTCTCTGGGCCAGGAGGGAGGCCGCGCACCAGCTGCAGGGACGGGGAGGACACGGGGAGGACAGGCCAGGAGAGGAGTCCACGGGGACGACGGACGGCGTGAGCACCCTGTTCCCACCACTGCAGGCGGCCCAGGCGCTGCGCACCTCCGGGGTGGGGGAGGGGGCGCGGGGGGCCCTTGGGTGTAAACTCCCGGGCCACAGAACCCAGGTCCGCAGCCTGCAGGTGAGCGAGGGTCACTGACGTCATCCACTCCGAGGACCCGGACGCTGCCCCCAGGCAGGGCCCCTGCGCCCTCATTTCTGGGCGTTACCCGGGGAGACTCCACCTCGGCCCCCCGGGGCGGGGGGGGGCAGGCGGACGGCCCATGCAGGGCGCCCCCCCACCTCTCACTCATCCACACCCCAGGCCCGTGTTTCCCGTCCTCGGCCGCCCAGGGCCAGGCGGGGAGGGCCGGGCCGCGGCCCCGGGGCGCCCTGGCCCAGCCCCCCCACGGTGGGCCGACTTCTCTCAGCAAATCAGGGAACGGTTCTCCCCTCGAAGGCGCCGGCCGTCTCCTGGCGAGCCCTGGGGGCTCAGAGCGCTCCAGGTGCACGCACACCTGTGCGGGTCACGCGGCCACGGGCCCGGAGTCTTCCTCGCCCGCTGCCCCGAGGCCGGTGCCGGCGGTGCGGGCTGGAACGGTTCTCCCCTCATCTCCCCGGGGGGTCCTTGAGGGAGCGCAGGAGCTCCCCGGGGGTCCCGGTCCCAGGCCTCCGGCTGCCCCCTTGACCGAGGGGGTCGGGGGGGTCCCCGCCGCCGTGCACAGCCACACTTCTCGTTTTCAGCCACGGCTTTCGAAGCAACGCCCTGGGTTCTGACGAGGGGCGACGTCCTTGTGCTTGCTGTAGCCGCCGCCTAATGGACCCCGTGTGAGAGCCCCCGGCCCGTGCCCGGCTTGCCAATACCCGCCCCCCCCCGCCACTTCCTTCTGGAATGTTCACAGTGCTCCCGGATCTCCGGGTTCCCCAGGTTTCGGGGATTAAGTTCAGTGTCTGGCACAGGTGAGGGCGGGGCATCGACAGTTCTGATTCGAGCCTGCAGCAGTCCCAGCATTTGTCGAAAACACGGCCCCGCCCCCCGGGAAAATGCCTGAAAACCAGGAGCCCCCGCTCCGCCCCGGGCTTCTCCGGGCTGTGGGTCGGCCTCTCCGCCCGGCCGGAGCAGGAAGCGTGTCGTGTGACCTGTCCGACGTGGTGGCGGAGACCCCCTCCTGGGTGTGAAGACGGCCCCACCCCCCACCCCTCACAGAAGCAGCCCCTGCTGCTGGGGAGTCCTGCCCGCCTGCGCGGCCCCGGGGGGACCCTCTGGAACGTTCGGTTGCCGCAGGCGGGACTGTCCAGGGAGGCCTCGGTTGTGCGGCAGCCGACAGCCGCCCACACCGGGGGTCACTCCCGAGCGTGGGTCTGGCCCCTGACCCGGTCCTTTCTGTGGTCACCCCTCGGTCCCGCAGGGGGCCGTCTGATGCCCGTGTGTCCCTGCTGGGGTTCGGGGGTGTGACGCCTGGGGACTTTTCCTTCCCCACACGGAGGTCTCTGCCCCCCCAGGTCCGCCCCCCAGCGGCTCTCCTCCCCCGGGGGCCCAAGAACGGCCCCTTCCCCTTCCTCACGCCTCGTGGGGACGAATCTCCAGGTAAAGCACCAACCCCGTTTGACGCGCTGGGCCTTCCGGTCTGAGGTCATAAACTTAGTTCCAGTCCTCAGACCCTGAAAACTCACTTCTTTCAACACTCCCACCGCGTCCGCCCGCAGCCCTGCCCCGGGGGGGAGCCCGCAGGTGCGGCCCCCACTTCACCCTCGGCCGGGGGCCAGCCCTGCCCTGCCCCCTGAGCTTCCAGCGGCGTCTGGGGTTGCCCAGCCCACCCCGTGGATCCATTCGTCCTGGTGCGTTTTTTAAAAAGACTTTATTTTATGGAGAGGAGAAAGAGAAAGACGGGGAGAGAAACATCCATGTGTGGTTGCCTCTCACTCGCCCCTACTGGGGGCCTGGCCCACAACCCGGGCGTGTGCCCTGCCTGGGAACGGAACCGGCCACCCTCGGGTTCACAGGCCCGTGCTCAGTCCACCGAGGTGCACCAGCCGGCTCTCCGGACACGTTTTCTGTGCCGCGTTCCCAATCGGCTTCTCCCTGTGCCCCTCGCCGCCAGTCCCGCCCCTCCCTCCTGGGGGACGCCGCGGTTTTCAGTCCACGGGCCACGGGGAACACGGCCTTCTCTGCCGGCCGTCCCGCGTGGCTTTGCTCTCGGGTGCCCCATTTTCCCAGTGAATTCATCTCCCAGACCTGAGGCCAGTGCTATGCGCGTGGCGGTGTGTGAGTGCGTGTGCTCCCGTGTGCACGCTGGCAGTGCGCGGGTGGGTGTGTGCCTGGACGTGTGTGGCCCACCGGTCAAGGTCAAGGGCCGCAGCAGCGTGTGTCCTCAGCCCGGGCCCCAGGTGGGGGCGCTGTGGCGAGGGGTGGGCGGCCGAGGCTCGGGGGCCCCTCCCGCCTCGTCCCCGCGAGGACACAGGACGCGGGAGCGTCCCGACTTGCCGGCCTCCGTGGCCGCACGTCCCGGGGGCTCCGCGGGCTCCCCACGGCGCTCTCCCCAGCAGCGTCCTGACGCACGGCCTCCGCCCCCCACCCTCTGCCGCGCCCCCGGCTCTGTCCCTCCCGCCCCCGCGAGGAGCCTGGGACTCGGTCCCGGGACCAGTCCGGCCGCCTTGGCCCCAGGGAGGGCTGCCCGCCCACGGCTTCCACGTGCCTCTGGGACGGCGGTGCCCACACTTCTCCCTGGGGAACCCCAGACACCCCAACAACCCACCTGCCCGCTCCCCTTCTCCCACCGGCCACTGCCAGCACTGGGAACCTGCTCTCCAGCCCGGGGCCTGCCCCCGGGGCCCACGCCACCCCACGCAGGGGCTCAGCTGCCTCCACCCGGGAGGGCAGCGGGTGAGGGCCCGCCCCGCCTGGCTCCCCAGGGTCTCACCCTCAGGGGGTCCCAGCCCCCGGGGCTTCTGGCAGCTCTCAGGATGGACCCAGACAGACCCTCCTGAGGGCTGCCCGAGGCCCAGCGCTGACCCCTCTCCCGGTGCCCGGGGTCCTGCGTCCTGCCCGCTGCGTCCAGTCTCGGGCCTCTGGACCCTGCGGAGCCTCCTCCCGCCCTCATTCCCGCCTCTGCTTCTCAGGGCCCCGCGGAGCCCCTTGTTGG